AGCTATAAATCACAAAGAAAATTTTCTTCTCTCTCTCTCTCTCTCTCTCTTTCTCTCTCTATCTGTCTCTCTCTCTCTCTCTCTTCTCATTTAATTTAATTTTAATTTTAAAAAATAAATTTTTTTTAAACATTTACAACAGCAAAAAATTTTTAATTATAACACATTTTATTTATTTATTTAAAAAAATAATTAACTATTATTATTATTATTATTTACAAATAATAAATATTCTTCAACCAGCGAAACAATAATTTCAAAATCGATTTCAAAATACAATTTATTTATTTATTTTTATTTATTTATTTATTAATTTATTTAAATAAAATAATTTTCACGACCGTTTGCGTGGGTGTCAAATAACTCTAAAACTTTTTTTTTTTTTTTTTTTTTTTACATTAGATAAACATTCGTCATCGAATTTACACTAAATTTTTCAATTTCTTTCTAACATTTCCCAATTTCAATTAATCATTATTATTATTATCACAAACCTTGAGCCAGCAAGATTTAAATATAAAATAAATTTATTTATTTTAATAAAAAAAAATTTTTTCTGACTAATTTAATTAAATAAATTTACTCTATTTCACATCCGCATTTCTTTTCCTTTTACTTGAACGTGAATGTTTCAAACTTTTCCTTACACTTTTCCTTTTTCCTTTTAATTAATATTTAACAATAATAATAATAATAATAATAATAATAATAATAAATAAATAATAATAATAATTTAATTAAATTTTTTACACTTTCCGAAAGGGCAAAAAGAAAATAAAATATGTATTCTTCATAATAATTCATCATTATCATTATTATTATTATTATTATTATCATTACCATCACGTTTTCGGTGTTGTCTAGTTTTTCGGTTTTTCGGTTTTTCTTTTTGTACGTATATCCGCCATATTTTAAAATTTAAACACACGCAAAAATATATTTTATTTATTAAATTGTCAAATTCGAGAGAAAAAAAATAGAAAATGTCGCCATTTTAAATTTTTTTACACATGAAACTTGAAAAAGTTTTAATTTTTTTTTTTTCCTAAAAGATTGTCTTATTATTATCATTATCATTATCATTATTATTATTATTATCATCATCATTATTAACAAACAAAAAAGGTTGAATTTTTTTTCGTTTAAATTTGTTTGTAATTTTCATAATTAAATAAATCAATAAAAATTTCAACCTCCATAACTCTTTAATCTTATTATCATTATCATTATTATTATTATTATTTATTTATAATTATTATTATTATTATTATTATTCGCTTTGGAAAATATTTTAATTCTTTTTATTCGTCAACGTCATCATCACAAATTATTATTATTATAATTATATTAAATTTTTTTTTAATCTAAATTATTATCATCAGTCTATATATATATATATATATATATATAAGTATGTAAAAAAAAATTTAATATGATAATAATAATAATAATAATAATAATAATAATAATAATAATAATAATAAATAATAATAATAATAATAATATTCTAGTAAAATTTTTTAAAAAACCTAAAATTTTATTGATTTTAAATCAAAAAAAAAAAAAAAAAAAAAAAAAACATAAATAATAATAATAATAATAATGATAATGATTAAATTAAATTTTTTGTTTGTTTGTTTGTTTGTTTTACAGCCAATTAATGAAAAAAACGTTTACATTTCGATTAAAGAATGTCGATTCTCAAAACCTGATAACAAATTTGCTACAAACGATGCATTTAACGCTCGCTCACTTTTTCGTAAATCAATAAAATAACGCATACGTTAGGTGTGACATGAAGGGCGTAAGGTATCATTCCCTTATAAAACCCAGAAAAGCCTTCGTACCTGAATATCTTTTTCACGCAATCCAACGTTCCCTTGTACGAGTGATTCTGATCCTGCAGTCTCGCTCTTACAACTTGATACGGATACGTCACGGCAGCCGCGATTAATTTCGACACGGCTGCAAATGTTAAATAATACGGTGTCGTCTGCAAAAAAAACAATAAACAATAAATTATTTTTTTTTTGGGGGGGGGAGGGGAAAAAAAAAGGGAATTTCATTCAACGTACCAATTTTTCATTTATCGGCCTATTGAGACGTTTATTGTAACTATTTTTCATTTCTTCATAAACCATGAATTGTATGGAACCGTGCGATACTCCAAAAAGCCCAGGAACAAAACCCTATCGAGACGAAAATTTTTAAATTAATTACAAACCTTAAAATCCGCCGCCATATTAATTAAAATTGTTAATAATACAAACCTTATATAATCCTCTCATTCCTTCATTTTTATATATTTTAATTAAACCATCAATCATGCCATTGTAAGTGTGAGAACTTTTCGTATCAGTCACATTTCTTTGTAAACATAACCTAAATGAAAATATATAATAATATATAATATATAATAATATATAATATATAATGTATAATTTTAAAAAATCAAAAAGCGAAAAAAAAAAAACAAAAATGCTCTCAATATTTAAATTATCAATAATCTTAAACTTAAGTAC